GGGGGGTGTCAATGTGATTTCAATAGTGTAGGCAATTTCTACTAAGGTAACTCTTTTCTACCAATTGTACACCAGTATCTGCTTCCACAATTTAGTCTTTGAATGTGGCCTAGGGCACTGATGTTAAGTGACTTGCCCAAGACACAGCTTCAGAGGTAAACCTTTAGAGTAACCTATTCACTGTTTCACGTCTATTATCGATCTCAATAATTTCCCTAACAAAATGAAATCCATCTTACAGGTACTTAAGTTTTCTAGACCTTTTACCCACTTCACAAAGTACATAATAAAACTAATTGTTGCATGTGCTACTACTGAGGGAAAAAAGGGACATCAATCAAGCATTCATGATAAAAATATCCTAATCCACAAAACTGAACTCTATGTATGCCTAAGCATTTCCACATCTCATCATCCAAAAAAGATCTCAATGCAAAATTCTAAATGGACAGTAAGTAATCCTTAAGGGTAGGTAAATGTATAAGCACTTGAAATAAATGCAGTTTTCAAAATATTAAGGAGCAACCTCAGAAACCACTTTTTGACAACTTTGCGTTTTCCCAGGTACTAAATCCACTCTTTGAAATAAAATCTTTTAAAATAATTTCTGATTGAAAGCTTTATTTAAAAGTAATGCATCAGGGGCAGCTAGGTGGTGCAGTGGATAGAGCACCAGCCCTGGAGTCAGGAGGACCCGAGTTCAAATCTGGCCACAGACAGGTAACACTCACTAGCCATGTGACTGGAGGCAAGTCACTTAACCCCAGCTGCCTCATCCAAAAAAATAAAATAAACATAAAAGTAATGCATCCATCTCTACATATGTGCACATATAAAATATATACACACACACACAAAACAGAAGTTAACTATGTACATAACAAGCTATATATACTCATATACCCCAATCCCCTTATTTATAAAATGGGGATAATACTTGTAGGCAAAGAAAATTTTTATAAAACCTTAAAGTGGGTAAATACGTGTGATCCAGTTATTTAATAATAAATCTGGGTTCAATAAACACATCATAACACAATAATATATTGGGAGGGATGTCTTATGGAAGTATAGAAGGTTGTTTGCTTCTATAATTGCCACCCTTGACTTATGCTTTTGGAGTTCTGAAGTCTTTTTAATCTGAAGCAAGAGTAAAAAGGCTAAAGTCTTTAGTCCATGAACTTTGTATTACCCTTTGATTGCTTTCAAGGTCTTATTTCTAGTTTCCCGGTTCTGGGCCATGTTCTAGATCACTGAACTTGATGAAAAAAAAATGACCTTCAGATGAGGGAGAGGCTACATACACAAATTTCACATCTCTACATACAAGATGGCACTGGAATAATTTCTTAAAGTTAGCTACATTTTCAATTAATGCAATATCTCCATGTGACTAGGAAATATGGTAAAGACCAAATACAGATGACAAAATACAAATGAAAAAAATTGTCATTTAGAAGACAAGGCTTTAAATTTTTGTCTGCAATAATACATACATACATACGTGTGTGTGTGTGTGTGTGTGTGTGTGTGTGTGTGTGTGTGTGTAAAACATATGCAACAAATACACCTAATGGGAAAGAAACCATTCAGCTTATTGCCCAGAGTACTGATGCTTTGGGATACCTTGAATTATCTTTAAAGCTAACACACACACACACACACACACACACACACACACACACACACACACACACACACACACACACACACCCTTTTCTACAGAGCAATGTTCAGCCCTGAATGCTTTACTAACTGTAAATCTAATTTTAAAATCTTCCTAGAAAACAGAGTTCACGTACCTAAGCATCTAACCCCAATTAAGGTTCTCTTCTCTCCAGTTTATGGTAATTTATGATGGCACATTGGGTGGATTTAAAAAAGATCCACAAAGGAAGATAAATAGGAAAAACCAAAAGGTTTCTGATATTAAAAAAGTATTTTGGTGGCGACTTCAGATTGATAGTTAATAGAAGGAACAAGAAAAAATACTAGGAGAGTGCTTACACTTTGATGAATTATAGTGCTTACACTTCAGATTAACACGACTTAACTATGAATATTGACACCTATAGATCAGAGTTTCTTAATGTTTTTTGTATCACAGACCTCCTTTGGGAAGTCTGATGAAGACCATGGACCTCTTCTAAGAATAGTTTTAAACAGGGGTAGGGGAACCTGTGGCCTAGGTGCTCAGGTACAGCCTTTTGACTGAGTCCCGGACTTACCAAACAAATCCTTTTATTAAGGGGATTTGTTCTGTGAAATTTGGATTCAGTCAAAGGGCCACACTTGAGGGCCACATGTGGCCTTTTTGACCACAGGTTTTCCACCTCTGGTTTTAAATGTATAAAACAGATTAAGCAGGATCAAAGAAAATCAGAGATTTAATGACATCTCTTATGCCTTATTTCCACTTTTATAAAAATGGGGCCTAATATTTCTATTATCTATCTCCCATGATGTAAGCAAAGTGCTTTGTAACATATTTTCTTAGAAATGTTGAGTTACTGTTTTTAAAACAACATTTCCAAGTTAAGTGTCCTAACATGATAAATTTGCACCAGTGGGAAATGAAACAAAATTTACTAAGTTTGAAAATACTTCAAAAATTATCAATTATTATCCAAACCTTAATAGAAAAAACAAAGTGTATCTTGACTTACTTAAGGCACCTGTATTTGACACAACTGGTGGGGGTGGGGAGCAGGCAAAGAGATAGCACAGGCAAATTTAAAAGGCATTGTCTAAGAACTCAGAATAAGGAGAAAACAACTTCAGTGCTTGCTCTATGACTGCAGAAGAACGGGTTTAGCCAGATGAACAAGTCTGCTAAAGCCTTCCCCAAGGCATTTGAAAGGCTATCAAACAAAACTTTATTAAACTGGATTACATGGCCTCTCTCACTCACTTGTTAGATGTTGAAGGAAAAACTTCTTAGTGAATAAATGAAAAAAGCTGATGGCAATGTAAACCAAACCAGGAATGATCTTTTTATTTTAACAATTTTGTTTTGTTTTTAAAATTGCAGCCCACAAAGAAAAAGCCACAGTTAAAGAGTTTTTGCTATCAATATGCTAACAGGTCAAGTTCCAGCACTAAAAGTTTAAGAGTGCTAAAAATCTGACAGGGTTGAAAGGCTATTTAGATACGACTGGCTCCAACTCGGCAGTATAAGATAATTACATAGTAATAACCAATTGAACTACAACGTTCCTTTAGTGGAAGACTTCAATTCTTTACCAACTCTGTTCCCCATTTCACACCAAAGACTTTTAAAGGCAAAAAAGAAAGATTAAAATTCAGTAAAGGGCAACCTTAGTACTTAAATTATTTTTCAAGTAAAACATAAAACCCACATGGAAAATGCAGGATGGAGGTATTCTTTGGGGTTTTTTTAAATCATGTATATTGTTTGCTCAACATTATCATATGCCTAAACTCAGTATTAGTGACTTATCTTGATTAGAAAAGCAGAATTCCTTTACAGAATAACTTAATTTTATCTTTCCAGGAGCTTTGCACATAGTAGGTCCTTAGTCCAATTGCGTTTCTAAGGTTTTAAAAGTTATTCTATCAGCATCATGTCATATTTGTGTCTAGTGTCAGCCAAAACAATCTGCTACCTTAAGCAATACTGAAGATGTCCTTTCATTTTCAAAATTCATCAATCAAAAGGCCAAGGACTCCTGGAATAAAAAATACTTCACCTATTAGAAACAAAGTGTTTAGTGTTCTAATATGTAGCGTTGCCATCTCTAGAATATCAAGTCATGCTCCTACTACAGGTACAAAATGTCTGAAAATCTATTCCTATTAAGTCTGTTCAAGCACTGACCTTTGTTCAAATGCTTTTACTCCTTTAATGCAGCAGTTAGAGATAACTACTTCATTTATCAAAACTCAATTTCCATAGTAACATCCAGCCTGGGGAGATTCAAGTCTTTACACTAATCCAACAAACCATTCAAAGTAACTGTTGAATACTCTTGTTTCCATAGCAATGACAGAATAATACATTTTGCTAGGTCATTGCTTATATTAACAAACTTTTTCTTTGAACTTCAGGTAATACCACATTATTCAGATTGTATCTATCCTTATGTTTCCTAAATGGGAGGTTGCTTTTAAATCCACAGCTCTAAATATACTTTATTACTTGACTATAAATATTAGCTATAACATATACTATCAATAGTACTTCCCTATTAAATATGCTTTAGCACTTGACTAAGATTATAGTACTGTTAACAAAGCAAGAATTAAAAAGCTATTGCCTGTGGAAATAGGTACATATTATACAAAAATACTTTTATTTTTAAAGGTTCTAAATACAGAAGTTGTTGTTTTCTGATGCGGGTAAGTCTCAGATTCTCTTTAAATAAAGTATTATATCATCTTCCCCACATATCTAAAGGAAAATAAAAATAAAGTTCTTGACTTGCAAACTCTAGCCAATTCCTGACCACTTGTTTTAATATTTTAACCCCACCTGCCTAGGGAAAATGCACATAAAGAGATATTTTTAGCTGAACTGAACAAGAAGAAATCTAAAAATATTGCAAAGCAATTATATTTAAACTGTTAAAAAGAAAAAAAATGTTTAGTAATTATGGTGACAGATCACCAGAAAAATCATTTCCCAAAGGGAAAAAAAGAAAAAAAAATTAAATAGAGCTTTAAACCTGAAATAACATGTGCCACTGAGGTTTTTAAATCCATTAGTGAAAATCACTGTTTACATTTTTTGAGGAACTGAGAGCCAAATGACAGAACCACCTCTTCTATTAAGACTCTCTCACCATTCTGGAACCATACTGTCCTGGATGTTTTAACTTAACTGGAGGCTTGAGCCAAGCCCATGCTGAAAAGGTAGGCCATTAAAAAAAAAATAAAGTTGACAGGAGAAAGAAGAGATCAAACAGGTTTTGGCTTTTAAAAGGATGAATACCACTTACAATATTTACACAACTCCCAGAATTAACTAGAAAATTACATACCAGTATGAGTCCTCAGGTGAGCTTTTAAATGGGAAGACTTTGTATAAACTTTTGTGCAGCCTAAAATAAGAAAGGAGAGAGGAGAAATGGCTTGTCATTTTGTAGGTCCTTTTGAAATCTTTACGTCTGATGATTCAATGTTTAAAATCAAGATGAAACCCCCTCATGTGGAGCTTCACATTTCAAATGAAGTTTTTACTAATGTATTCCATTTGTCAAAAAAAATTAAGAGCTTGTTCTTATACATAAGAAAAATACACCTAGTAGCGCAGTTATAACTGGAAAATTTCCGTGGTTATGTTCCAACAGATACTTCAGTGACTTACATACTTAAATTTTTCAAAATCTTAAATGTCCTCTAGAGTTAACTTAGTTATTACTACCCAAGATTACAGTAATTTTCCATATGTCTACATTTGTTTCTTCATTCAGCATTTGTCATGCCATATCATGTACCACAGTAAATAAATTACACCCTGTATTAAAGGCAGAAACTATCCTATGTCAGCAACTTGTCCAAACCTACATTGTGGTAGTCACTTCATATTTGGGATCACATATGTAGTTACAAAACAACACTATTAGAATCCCATTTTTAAACTGTTAAATATAGACTTCTCTGCAGGTCAAGAAAAAAATAAAGGCAAGCAGGTCTCACTTCTTTTCTACACACCCAAATCTCCCTCCTCCGAGGTCTGATTTAAAGTATGTGCAGAGGAGAATCAAATAACGACAGGTGAAATTTAAGCCTAGTTTCCAAATACTTTATGATTTAAAAATATGTTGTCAATTTGCAATGTAGAACTTAGGAGAACATTATATTCAGTCATAGTATGTAGCGCAAATAATATGTACCTCATAGGCGATGACAATAAGAGAAATTTCCCTTATTGACTTCAGTGTATATGAATGGGTAATGTACATACACATAATTGTTCAAAGGTTTCAGATTCAAAACTGAAATTGAAATTTGAGAAGTTGTCTAAAATTTGAGAAAGTACCACTAAATTGTCAGTACTAACAGAAGAATTCCACTTTTCCATACGCTGCCTCACATTATTTCTTTATATTTTTGTTTTTTAGAAGAGGAAGTTTATAAACATATTTTTTTTCCTTCAAACTTTAGTTTGCATGCCAGTACCTATTATTAGCAGTGCATGTCTTTGGATCTCAAATTTGATGAAAGAATAAAAACAGGGAGCCTGATCTTGTTACTGACAAGTAGTATTTTTCTAAGGAGCTTTAATCTTAAAATTGAAGATTAAAAGAGCAACAAAAATGCTAACTATGATGACTGGTGCTCTACTAAGTAAGATGACTTACCAGGATAATCACAGTAGTGGATTCGTCTCTTCTCTAGATCTGGGTTACTCCTTCTATTGTATCTGACTGTTTGGATGTTCTGTGAATTAATTGGCAGGGTGGCTGGTAAATTTGGATTGTGAATTGCCAGTTTAGAAGCAATTGTAGCAGCATAAGAAGGAGGGGGTGTTAAATTCTGCAACATCTCTGCTTGTCTGTCTGGACTTCCAGGCTCTGAACTTGGTGGTGAAGGAGGGAAGTAAGTGGCCTGCTGCGGAAGAAACTGATTTGGCATTGTGTATGTGCAGGGGGGCATACCCTGGAATTGCTTCATTGCAGTCTGTGGAACAGCTGAGGTGAGTGTATTAAGGCCTGCCATGGCTGCTGGCATGGAGACATTAAGTGTGTCCATTACTGCTGTCTGGTTTGTAGAACTGGGCATATCTAAATCCGGGGAACTCAAAAGTTGGTACAACTGGCCCTGCTGGGGAGTGACAGAAAGATGAAGATCTGGTGTTGGAAGTTCTTGCTTGATGAAAATGTTGTTCACATCTGGAGTTGCAGTCTGGTGTGAGCTGAATATACTGGTGAATTCAGGAAGAGCCTGGGTGGGGGCTGGGGCAGGCGCAGGGGCAGTAGTTTCACTCTGATGGCTGAAAATGGTCACAGGTTCTGTCTTGATGTGGGTTACACACGGTCTCTGAGTTTTGTACAAGCCAGTTCTCAGGTGGGTGATGTCAGGGAGGAAGACGTTCATGTTGATACTGTAAGGTAACCCTTCACTGTCCGTGAAGAACTGGTCTACAACTGAGGCACTGTCTCTCCTGTACTTCTTATGCTCTGGGATGATAGTAACTGGCGGAAGCTGAGGTGTCAGATACTTCTCCATTTCACATCTCGTCTAAAAAAAAAATTCAAACACACACACACACATAACCCACCTATTTTTAATCATTTATGGAGGGGGACAAAACATGTTACTAACTTGAAGGATAGGGGTACAAAACCCAAAACAGACCCTTGACTATTCCAGTAAAGCACATGAGTGCAAATCTCCCAGTGAGCTATAAATATAGCAAGACATTTACTCCAGCCATTCTGTCTTTCATAATTAGTTCAGAGACTGAAAATTACACCACCACACAATTAAAAAAAAATTGACCCCAGACAAAAAACTAAAGGAAAGGGAGACAAAGAAAAAAGGAAGCAAGAGTAAAAATATCACTCCTTTCTGATGCAATAAAGCATTACCCATAAAAGCACATGATTTTTTGTTCTATTAGTTTATTACAATTAAAGCACTGTATTGTGATAATGCTGCATTATGTTGTCTAGTCTTAATAATATACTTACAGATCATTTTTAAAATAACAAAAGCTTATGTTAACCTCAAGAAATTTCTGTCTTTAAAGGCTATTTTCCCTGTTAACTGTTACAGATTAAAAATACTCAAAACAAAATCTATCCCTTGGATATTCCAGTGACTTGTCTTTAACTGTTTAATGAAACATAATGTTTCCCCCAAAAAAGTGATCTTTGAACAAAAATTTTGATTAAACATTTTTATCAACAGAACCAGTAATTAGTTAATATGATAATGAAATGTTCTTATTCATATCCCTATCTTAAACAGATTTTTAATTACCCAGGGGAAAACCATTCCCTTGGTATAGTGGTGCTAAGGAGCCCGTGGGTGGATAGAGCCTGACACATTACCAGCACAGTCATCAGCAAAACATTTATCATGTACTCCTCAGTGGACAAATGCTACATTCCCCCTTACTCTGTAAAAAGTCCAGCCATGCCATATTCCTTCAATAGCCCTAAAACTTACACTTACACACACACCCTGTACACCTGAATGGATAGATAGCTCAGACTCACAACCCAGAAATCTTAATCACAGGATTAGGTAGTCATTTTCTAGACCTGCGTAATTTCAAAAGGAGTTTCATTTCTTAACTTGATTCACTTACTGTGGATATGTACTGGATTTCCCGGACTAGTGTCTCATTTAAAAATAAAAATTAACATGTCATGTGAGCCACATCACTGGCAAATGACATTGCCATCTAATAAACCTGTGACATTACTGCCCACACCAAGTAGAAGGTTGGGTGGTCAAGTACACAATACACCAAAAGCGGCTATTAAATAAAATGTCTTGAAATAAAACTAAAGTAAACCCTTTCGTGCACTAGGCTCACGTTGTGGTTAGTGGTTTCTGATTTTAGCTCTTCCAGCTGTTTGCATGTGGGTATGTTTCCAACTTTTTTTTTCGGGACAGGCTAAAAGTCCCGGGAAGTTTTTTCTGGGCTATATGACTCTTTGCGTGGGCGAGAGAAACAGGCGGTTGCTCTAATTCTGCTACTAGGCAAGTGCAAAACCAACTGCCAAGCTTTCAACAGCGATCCAAGAGGAAATTTGCGCGCACACTCCAAGAAAACGACTCTCATACACACGCAGTCCCTTTAGTCCCTTTTCTCTAGGAGGTACTCACGTCCACACAAGTAGCAACCTCACCACTCTCCCCGTTTCCCGACCACAGCCCCACCACGAGTCTAAGGCAGGTTAAGGAAGCCAAGATTTGTGCGTTAGTCTCCTAAGGGTTGCATTCCCCAGCAACCCATTTCGGGTTTCGACTTCACATTACAAGGTGGACGTAGGGAAAACAGTTCAAAACACCTACACTCCCCAGCAGGTAGAGTTTTCAGGAAGAAGGGGTTTAGGATTGGAGGGCTGTGTTTTGTTTTGGTTTTTTTTGGAGGGGTGAAATCAAAGGTTTAAAATTGTGGTTCTTTTTCCTCCCAGACACAGAGACGCATGTTAAATACACCGCCTCCACTCCCTTTTAAAGGTTTCCAGGCGGTTTCACCCAGATTCATTCCATAACCAGTGCGCAAGTGTGTGCTGGACGGCACCCCGACTTTTTCTCCGCTAACGCGGGTCCCCGAACCTCCAAACGCAGGGCGGAGGTCCCCTCCCCCCTCTTCCATCCACGCCCTAGCGCCGCTGTCCCTCTCCCCGAAGAGGAGAGTTACTGCGGGACACACCCGAGGGAGGAGAGCGCGCTTCTTCCTACCTGGACCAGCTCCTCGGCCGGGAGCCTGGTGCTCCCGGGCTGGGGCTGCTGCTGCTGCTGCTGCGGCTGGGGCGGCTGCTGCTGCTGCTGCTGCTGCTGCGCCTGCTGGGGATGGTGGGCATGGTGGTGCGGGTGCTTCATCTCCTCCCCCGGGAAGAGCGCCGCTTCCCGGGCCGCGTTCCCGGCTCCTAGCACGGGCTTGAGCTGGGCGAATACGGGCTCGTCCTGGGGCGGCTGCTGCTGCTGCTGCGGTACCGGCCCCAGCCGGGCGCTCATGGTCAGCACCCTCGTAGCCATGGCTATGCTCGCTCGCTCTGCTCCGCTCGCTCGCTCGCTGGCTGGGCAGAGGCTGTGGATGGAGCGCGCTCCCCGCCTCCGCTCCGACCCCGCAGCGAGGGCTAGGAAGTTGGGGGGTGAGGGGGAAGGGAGAGGGGACACACCGAGAGGTGAGGGAGGGAGGCTCCGGGCGCTCCCACCGACCGACCCCGCCGAGCAGCAGCAGCAGCAGCGGCGGCGGCGGTTTAAAAAAAAAAAAACCCAACAACAAACAAGCCCAAAGTCTTCCACTCGCGGCACGCGTGAACTCCGACGTCCCGTCTTCCGGGCTGCCACTTTCTCCGCCGCCCCACCCCACTACAACACACCCCGGGATTCCAGCTCCCACGACTTCACGGTGCAAACGCCCGTACCTGGCCCCGGCTGTCTACTGACACATGATGCCCGCCTCTATTTCACCCTACTCCAGGGAGGCGGGGCTTCGGCTCTTGACTGGCGGGGCCAGTGGCTTATCCGAAGGCTCCTGGGCCGGCCCTGCGTGGACGGCTAGCCTATGAGAGGGAAGAGTCTGGTTAAATTAAAAAAAAAGGCCCCGCCTTCCCTCTCTGGGACCGCACCCCTCTCAGGCCACGAGCGGAGCATCGCGCAGGCCAGCGGCGCAGTTTGTACACAAGTTCTCTGACAGATTGTAGAGCCCCGGGAAAGGAGGGAGGGAAAGAAGAAGGGGGGGCAGGCTGGAGGAGGAAAGAGCGTTTTGGGTGGAGACGCCGGGGGCAGATTTCTTCGGACTGTTCTCTCCCGGGATTAGAGGGAAAAAGAGTTTTGCACGTCCTAGGTGTTGTGCAAGGACCTGAAACTGAAGGGCTGAAATCCAGAAAAGCTATTAGGCGGGGGCTCCGAGGTTGTAAAGTCTATTGAAATTAGCGGTGGGCGACCTGTGCTTCTAATGGAAAATCCGTGCAGTGGGGTGATAGGCGAATTAAAGAGCAGCTCCCTTCTTCGTGTGCCTTTAGGAGTGAATGTATCCATTTAAGCAAAACAAAGTAGGAACATTCTACATTAAGGGAATTATAGCAAGGTGTTTCCTTTTTATTTTAAAGCCCTTGCAGGAAACCTGTCCCCCTTTTTTCCCTTTACAACTTTAAATGGCCAAAGAAAGTTAACTGCCTATTTCTGCTTAGGAGTGGGACTAATGCATAAATTTGGCATCCATTAGCATTTCTTCTAATAAATACATCTTGAGACTATCAGAAATGTAGGGTGCGTTTTTAAAAAACCCCTTCACAAGTCCGCATATAAAAATATATTTTCAGTTACCACAAAGGACGAAATTCAGTAATAATAAGTAGAGTGCAAAATGTTTAAAAAATAATTATTGGGTGCTTACTACCATGTGCTTGTTTGGACATTTAGATAATACCCTGGTGCCTTTCATTAAAAAGGATAAACAAGGTGTGTTCATAAGTCATATACACGTAGTAGCACTGAACTGAAGGGACCTAAATCTGAAGGATAACAACCAAACCGGTTGCCTGTTATTAAACAGTCTTTATTTTTGCTATGCAAAGTGAAATTTTGCCGGTAAATAGCCAAAGAAAATCTCTCCCCAACTTGATCCTTAATGTGTTCTTGTATGCTGCTTTTATCAGCCAAATTTTAAAAACCTCACACGATAAACTGTTAGAGAAGTTTCTTATCTATTAGATACTCATTGTACAGATAAATGTATACAAATGCTATTAATCATTTAATTTACATATTCCTCATTTCACAGTAAAACAGGGGCAGGGCTGGTAAATGTTTCTGACACAAACATTTCATGCGATGAGTGGTCCTAGACAAATAAGCATCTTCAAATTTCATGATTTAAAAAAAGGAAAATGGAATATGGCCCATGAACAGATTAATTTTTTTTCTCACACACACTACTTAATTCATTATCATGCCTGTACTAATTACTTATAGGGAAGGGTTGATGATTATATTCATGTTTAGGAACTAATTTATGAGATTAGTATCAAAATATTTTAAGTCTACAGCCCCATACTTTCTACTCCATTCCATGAGGTATCCAGTTTGGCTATTGCATACAACTTATTTCTTTCTTCAGGTAATTTGTAAATTAATCGTAGAATTGAGTTTGGCATTTAAAATGATCCTCTACATAAACTGGTGAGATTTTTAGTCATTTGATGCTTGATGACATTGCCTAAGTACTCTGACTCTGGCAAAGCTTTGATATTTCATTACTGGGTCTATTCAGAACTTTTTAAAAACTGTACTTTGCTCATTTTTCATTTTCTTACCTTCAGTGCAACTTACTATTCCAGTTTAATTTAAACAATTAAATCCATTTTTAAAACCTTTTTTTAACTTCTTTTAGCTTGAGCTACAGTGATCTACTATTTCAGTTCAAATGACCATCACATTTGACATTATTTACAACACTAGAAAACACCATTCACCAAACTTCTTTTTCTTCATGTATATTTTAACCAATTTTCAATCACAAGAAAATTACTGATAAAACCCTTTTTTTACAAAAATACTTTCTATAGTCTTACTATAATTTCTCTAATTTCTACCTTTCTTAATGAATATAGATATGATCATAGCTATGGATGTTGTGCTTTCAACACATTTTTAGTGTAAAAGCTGAATAAATTCTTTTCTAGCTTAAATGCAGAGCCATTTATTCAAATTAAGTTTCTGGCATAAGGTTTCATTAAATAGTGCTACTACTTTAAGTAATGGTTTCTCTGAAATGCCCAGATCTGGCAGTCTCACAGAAAATAACTAGCTTAGCTCTGTACAATAGTACGGAAATTGGAAAGTAATCCTTTACTGAAACATTCGCCATGCAGATCTGAACACATAAAGAGCATTTCTCACAAGCATTTCTGTTGCTGTTGAGTCAAACATCATGCCAGTGAAATTTTTTCCCCCAAAGTTAGCTAAAAAGGGTTAAAACTTGATAAATATTTTCAACTGCTCCAGGTTCTCCGCTGGCATGGAGCCAGGCAGTGTGAATGGACAGATCCTCAATTGCTTTGAACTTTTCTAGTTCTTTGCATTCCTTCCTGCTTAGTAGTTCTGTACCATTAGGGTAGATAGGAGAAAACAAAAAACAAATGTCAGGTTTCAGAAGTTGGTGAGTGGCCTCGCAATAGTGTGTTGCTGAACTGCTGTAAGAAGGATTGAAGAAAAAAAAGGAGTTAAGGAACTGAGATAGGAGGTAAATAGTAGAAGCAATGTGCATGCTGAAGCCCTTAGTCACTGGGCACCACAGATTTAGTCTTAGAATAAACCCTAAGTGTGACTATCTTTACGGGAATAAATGTTCCTGAATGTGTGGGGGCTGTACAGGCATTTATGGGGGGGGGAAGGGGGAGGGAGTGGAAAAAACATGGATAAATAGCTCCTGAATGATGAGATGAGAGAAATGTGAAGGCTGCCCTGCCCCAGTGAGACCTTCATATCAGGACAAGGAAAAAGAAAATCTATATTCAGATGCCTGGTAAAAATATCAAGGGTTGCTGGAAAATTAAGAGGCTCAGACTCTTCTTGGTGAACTTATATGCCTGTTAGTACAATTTTCCACTGACTTTTAGGGGGGGAAATGACTAAATTGTCCCTTATTTTTTGCAAAATTATAATCAAGTTACCTAGAGATTTGTAGATACCCATTTCAAATTAGCCAGTGATCACTGGGGCTTGAGGTGGCAGAGTAGAAAAAGAGGAGTAAAAACAGTAAAAATATTTTTCTCTAGGGGAAAAAAGATGAAGATTATCTGACCAAAAGTTATTATTTAATACTTATTGATTGCCCTCAGTGTGTTAGGATCTGGGTCAATAATACATTCATAAGACAAATGCAGTGCCCTCTAAGGTGGTATTTTACATATACATAGAGAGAGGAGGACTGGATCTCTGATTTCAGTAAGTAAAGGAAACTCGCTTTGCCAAAGCAGGCAAGTACTTCTGTGCAATTTATAGTCTTTGAGAGATGCCTAGAGAACTGACAAGTTAAATGACTTGGCCAGGGTCAAACAGCCAGTATGTTAGAAGCAGGATTGAAACCCAGATTTTCCTGGATTCTAAGCCAGCTTTCTATCTACTATTCCATGCTGACTCTCCATAGAGATATTAATAATAATAATTTTTGGTTTATATATTACTTGAAGTTTTGCAAAGGTCTGTAAAGCCTGATTGCACTTGATCTTCACAACTCTTTACATAAGTACTATCAGTTTGTGAAAATTTGTTTTATTTCATCTTTTTTTTCTCACAAAAGGAATCAGTCATTAAAAGTGCAAAACCCAATACACCTCCATTCCAGTTAATAATGGTCTGAACTTAAAGAATAGTAAAACTCTGTTTAGTGACCTCCAAAGAAAAGATTGACATAAGTGCAATGCAGGGAGACTTTATAGACCTGAGATACTTCAAGATCATTTGATTTATCTTCTTCTTACCTTTTCAAAGAACACACAACACCATTTATGAGGCTTAGTCATAACCTCGTTTCCTTAATAATAAGAAGATCCTTGATATCTTAATCTTTCCCCCTCCTTGTTCTGGGTTAAAAAAAAAAGGAGAATTAATTTTATACTTAAGTTTGTATTTCTCTGTTTTTCATAAGGTACCACCTCATAGTAATGTCACTGCATTTTGGAGCCCAAACTCTTAACTTTTCAAGTCAATTGTTAGGATTCTCACAGTGTGAAACAGTAATTTTTACCTTTTCTTCAAGTTGACCCTTCTCTTGAACACAGGAATCAAGTTTTCCACCTTCCTATCACACGATGGGCTGGCAAAACACACACATAATGGAAAGCTTACGCCATTTTATAGGCCAAGTATAGTGTTCCTGAAACTGTATTTCAATTCTGACTCTGAACAGGCTGGGTAAAAAAAGACTAAATTAAAAAAAAAAACCTCAACTGCTACAGCTATACCCAACAGCAGAGTATGAGGGGCTCACTTCCAGAACTTTTAGAGTTGCCACATCACCCACATCACAATGGGCAGAATTTTGAGCCAGTTGCCAAGCACCGTGACCAAAGCAGCAGCAATGTTATACCTGTAGCAAACACTCAATAAAGACCTATTGAATG